GGGAGGGAAGGGCAGAAGGTGGAGCCTCCAGCGCTTTCCTTCATCCCCAACACTCAGGGCTCCTCCGCCAGGCCCCCCCACCCCAGCTCCCTGCGCTGCTGCCCCAGCCCCTTGGGGTCTGAGCTCGGGTGGGGAGGTGTAGGCGCAGGCCCCCCCACCCCAGCTCCCTGCGCTGCTGCCCCAGGCCCACCTTGGGGTCTGAGCTCGGGTGGGGAGGTGTAGGCGTGGGGGGTAGTCCGGCCAGGAAAGTCAAGGGATGCGCATGGGCGGGGGTCGGAACCTGTTGCTTGGAGGAAGAGTGGGCCGACTATGACCCCCCCAGTCTCGGGGCCTCAGGTGGTAGGATGGGCAAGTAGCAAAAATAATGGGGAGGGATGAGAGGCAGGGGAGGATTCTGTTGCTGTGTGAGGGTGGCTGGCTGGTGCTGCTTCCGGGAGGACATCTTCCGGAGCACCTGTGGGCAGGCCTGCTTCCCAGCTGTCTCTGCCTCAGCCCCACCTGGCCACCCTCTCTGCCCCAACTTCCAGAGACCCAGGTCTGTACTTAGTAGGCCGTGGGCAGCTCCACACCTGCCAGTGCAGATGGCCCGGCTTGACCCCTGGGCCCTTCTCATCGGACACCCAGGCACGTAACAGTGGGGCTCCAGGTGGACAGAGGACTAAAGCTCCCAGTGGGCTGGGCTCGGGGCTGAGGGGCCTCTTCAAGCAGGTCTGGAAGGCTTCTGGGCCCCACCTCCTGGGCCCCAGTCCCTTCCCACTGGCTCACCCTCTCGTAGTGCACCAGTCCCTGGTTATCATGAAGTCTCCCCTCCCACTCCCAGCCCCTCTCTTCCTCCTCTTTGCCCACCTCTCCCCTCAGCCCAGCTGGGTGACCCTCCATTGTTCTGTCTTGCCCACCACTCATGGCTCCCTCTTCTCTCCTCTTTCCTAGGCCTCTCTTCTGAAGCACACCCCTGTCTCTTCTCCGTGGGTGTGCGTGGAGGGGCCGATGGAGCCGGCCGCACTGGCGACCAGGTATGGTTCAGAGCTCCTCAGCAGCTGGGCAGGGGCCCAGGCCACCCCAAGGGAGTCCTGTCTGGAGTGGGGCTGGAAAGGGGGTCTAGGCAAGGCCTCCTGCTTGGGAAAGGCCAAGGGGGTGGAGGGGGTGGGCAGTGGGACACAATGAGGTAGTCACACGAGGCGAAGGCATGTTGGGGGTGGGGGGAGCGGACATTGGAACACACACACACACACATGCTCGCACACACAACCAGCCAGACAATCGGGCCAGTGTGTCTGGGGCCTCGGAGCCCAGTGAATTAGGAGTTTGATAAGGGTTTTCTCTTTCTCTCCCTTGCCGGCCTTGGACAATCTCCCCCCAGTTTTCCTCGACGCCACCCCCGGCGCTGCCAACCCTCCTCCCCCCGCCTCCCTTCTCTTCCCTGTGCCCAGACTCTTGTTCGGGGCCTTGAAACAGTGAGCTGTCTTTGTTCGAAATACAGGTGAACGGCAATCATGTGATTAACACACACACACATAAAAAGCTTTTTAACAGCGCCCGCCCGGCCTCAGAACCGCCCAGAGAGGAGCCGCCCTGGATGGACAGAGGGCTGAGGGCCGAGCATCCAGCTGGTCGTCCGGCTGCCCAGCAGTCTCCGACGCCGCGGCTGCCCGTCCGCTGCCCGCCTGCCTGGCATCTCTTGATCCTCCCGGTGGGTCCCCATTCATCCTTCCACCCTTGGTTCCTCCTCTTCGAGGGCAGGGCCTCCCTGCCCCTGCCGTGTCTGTGATCCGGTCCTGAGACCCCCCAGGGCAGGGAGGGGTGGCTGTGGAGGGCGAGGGCCCAGGGTCGGAAGCTGGGTGTGGGGTCCCACAGCTCCCTCTGCGCCTCCCCCCTCCTCCTCCCAGCTGTGCCAGGATGGGGGTGGGGGTGGCAGTGCGAGCTCTGGGTCTGCAGAGAAGCCATAGTGCACAGAGGGGGCCTCTCTTTTCCCTTCCTTCTTTCTCTCCCTCTCCTCCTGTGTCCTCGGTGCTGTGCTTTCTGCTGAGAGGTGCTGGCTGAGGAAAAGGCCTGAAGAGGGGGTGTGGGGGAAGGGCTGTCAGATGCCCAGGGCTGTGGGGGTGGGGACCCCCTGCTGTGAACATTTTCCTCCATCCACCCACCATGCTGGCAACCGTGATCCCCTCCTTCCCACCCCAGGCCCCGGGGACCCAGCTTTCTCCAGCAGGGGAGGGTAAAGGCCCATGGAGAGCAGGGGGTTTGGAGAGGGGGGCAGGGTCCTGGATTAAGACCCTGGGCCTCTGCCCTTGGCAGAATCACCAGGTGGGCCAGTACCACCTTCTGCTCCCTTCCCTGCACCGGTGGGAGGGGTCCCTTCTCCCTCATTCCTGACCCTTCCCCAAGGATGCTGGCCAGGACCCTCCCCTCAGCACCCTGTCTACTCTGGCCTTCCTGGGGGAGCTGTGGGGAGAGATGGCTCTGGCCGGCCCTCTCTCCCCAGCAGAGAGGTGGGGACTCAGGCGTCCCTTCCTGGCGGAGAGGCCTTTCAGGGGCGGCAGTATTTGCCTGGAGCCCAGCCTGGGTGCTACTGATCCTGGTCCCAGACTCACTCACTCAGCCCCTGAGAGGAGGGGAAGGAATGGAGTTCTGTTAATCAAAGGTCAAGCCACTGATGGCCCCACCTGGCAGAGCTGCGCGGTCAGCAGTGACCCTTAACCCCTTAGCTCCCTGAGCCCTCTTCCCAGGGCCCTGGTCATGCTGTGGAAGGCTCCGCCCTCGTCCTCCTTCCCTGCTCTGGGCCTGGTCCCTCCTCTGCCACCTGGGGCACTGATCACCCTCCTGCCATCCTGCCTCCCCGGACACAGAGGAAACGGGAAATCTGCTCGCAGAGCCAGGGGCTGTGCAGGGGTGGGGGGGTGCTGGTCACTCTGTCTCTGCTCCTGCCTGTTTTCCCAGGGGGGCTGACACTCTTCCCAGCCCTTCAGAGGCCAGGGCTGTGGGCCAGATGGGGGCACGGGGAGAGCGCTCTCCCATCTCCGGGCACATGTGGGTGAGACCTGGGGCCCAGGCTGTCCTCTCCTTGGTTCCCGCAGGCCTGTGCCCCTCCCAGCACCTCAAAGGCGCACCAGCCCCTCTGGCCCCCGAGGGACACTCACCCCCACGCTGGCTGTGGGACAGGGTTGGCCGCGGCAGCGCCTCTCCATGTAACGGTGTGTCGCCAGCTCCCATTCTTTGGGTCCAGGTGGGGCCTGAGGTTTCGTGTTTATGACCAACTTCTGCGTAGCTGCCTAGGGCACTGGTCCTAACGCTAGTTGCACTTTAGAATCCGGTGGAGTTTTAAAAAAATCCTGAAACCTGGATCCCATGGCAAACTGGCGAATTCTGACGGACTGAGGACGGGGTCCAGGCCTGGTTGCTTCGAGAAGCTCCCATGGGGTCTTGCTCACCTCACTCGGCTCTCTGAGCCCTGAGGACCCGAAATCGCCAGGGACAGGGGAGGGGAAGGGCTCTGGACCCCAGGGCTGGAGGCTCCACGTGCAGTTACCCAGGGCTGGGGTGTGGCAGGGAGGCTGTGCACTGGGGAGGGGAGGACTGAGGACCCAGGGGTCAGGCTACAGCAGGGACCAGGACAGACACTTAGTCCGGGTGAGTGTATGGGACATGGGGGGCTCCTGATGTTTCCTAGGCCACCCCCACCCCCTCTGCGCAGGCCGTGCCCTTTTTTTTTTTTTTTTTTTTTTTTTTTTTGGTGCTCTTGACCAGAATCGAACCTGGGACCCTTCAGCCTGCAGGCTGACGCTCTATCCACTGAGCCAAACCGGTCAGGGCATGGCCGTGTCCTTCTTGGTTTGGGTGCAGGAAGAGATGGACCTGGATGAGGAAACGCTGCTGTTGGTGTGCACAGGGCCTCGGGCAGGTTATGCTGTTAGGCTTTTGCGCGTGTGGAATGCTGGTATTTTGTACGTTATATATTATACACGTGGGAGACCTAAATAAGAACGCACACATATGCTCCTAGTTCAGTGCTGGGTGCATTAAGTACTCAACACCTGGTCGCTAGAAAAAGCAGTTTAGTCCTGAGAGGGGCGGAGATACTTTGAGTGCACACGTGTTTACTGAGCAGCCACCTGGGCCTGCCTTCGGAGTTTCTCATCTGCCTGTTGCTCCCAACATCAGACCTGGGTGGGGTGCGACACGTTCCTTGTGGGTGGGCCTCCTGGCCTGCACCCCTTACTTCTAGGCCTCCCCGTGGACGGGCCCAGCTCTGAGCACTCCTGTCACTGACTCATTCCGTCTTCTCAACAACCCTATGAGTAGGTGCTGCTATTAGATTCCTTCTAGGAGGGAAACTGAGGCACAGAGAAGTTCAGGACAGGCCTGAGCTCACCCAGCTCATGATGGGAGGGTGTGGACCTGCACCCGCGGTACCTCCCAGGCTCTGACCACTGAGCTCCACAGCCACTAGACTGAGGGCCCGTCTTCTCCTCCTCCCCGTCCCCAGGCCTTCCCACCTGCTCTGCCCCACCGCTTCCTCCAGGTCACTGCTTTCAGCCCAGCTCAGAGGCCCTCCCTTCAGGGATGCACTCCTGGACACCGTGGTTGGAATTCTTTAAAATATATACATATTTTTATTGATTTTAGAGAGGAAGGGAGAGGGAGAGAGAGAGAAACATCAATAATGGGAGAGAATCATTGATTGGCTGCCTCCTGCACACCCCTCACTGGGGATCAAGTCTGCAACCCTGGCCTGTGCCCTTGACCGGAATTGAAACCAGGACCCTTCAGTCCGCAGGCTGACGCTCTATCCACTGAGCCAAACCGGCCAGGGCTGGAATTCTTTTCCTGTATCACCTTCCCACGGGGGTGAGATAGGAGCCTCACCTCCTCGCATAGCCTGGCGTCCAGGCTGGGTCTCCACTTGCTGTGCACCCCATGAGGGCAGGGCCATGCCTTCCTCTGGGTCTCAGCCCCTCGGGGCCCTGCACGCCCTCAGGGAGTCTTCCCTGAGCTGAGTTACTGTCCGAGTTCCCAGGATGGAAAGATCAGAGGCTGGAGCAGGCGGGCGTGGCTTCCTGGAGGTGGAGGGCCGAGAGCTCAGGGGGGACAGCATTCTAGGGCCTGTCCCAACAGGGGCTCTCGCCTGTCCCTGTTTCTGGTCCAAGCTGAGGGTCCTGGACCTGGGCCACGAAGGCAGCTCCTGGGGCCTGAGTCTTCCTTCCCTTCCCGGCCCCGCCCTTTCCAGGAACAAGGGAGCTGGGGCTGGTGCCCAGAGCTGCCTGGGGCGGGGGCCTCTGCCCTCTTCTTAGAAGCCCTTGGAGAAGGACACTGCTGGTTCCTGTCACCCAGACCCAGCTGCCGGGAAGTCTTCCTGGCGTCTCCCCTGGATGGCTCAAGCGGTGGCGCACTTTTGTGAACGTACCGTCCGTCCATGCAGAGCTCTGGGCCAGGAGCCGGGGTGGGGCTGATGGAGGCCAGAGCCTGGCCTGGAGCTGGGTTCCAGGGGAGACACCTGCGTGAAAGCCCAGGACCCTGGCACAGCCGAGGCCCTCACGGCCGAACGGCGACTGGAGCCCACGGGCTGAGGTCAAGTCCAGCTGGGCTCCAGAAGCCCTGTGCAGCCTGGGCTGCCTTCTTCCCTCTCTAGGCCGCAGTTCCCATCTGTAAATGAGGAACAGCCCAGGTTATCTCTAACGGCGGGTCCAGCTTTGATCGCCTGTGGATCTGTCACAACAGGAGGCCAATGCCTGGCCCGGTGTTTCCAAGGTGGTACCTCAGGCCCCTGGGCTCCCCAGACCTGGATCGCTTTTCTTGAGAAGAGAGTTATGGGCAAATATGCTTAGGAAACTGCTTTTCCTTCCTCTTCTCAGAGATGCAGGGCCTGCTACGGTGTTAAAGGCTCTAGGGGCTGCAGTTACGAAATGGATCTGTTTAAAATCCTTATCCCCTCCTCCCCCTCCTCCTCTTCCTCCTCTTCTTCCTCCTCCCATTCTGGTCCCTTTGTCTCCCCCTTTCTCTCTCCCAAGAGTCAAGAAGGTGGGGTGTTCCCTTGAGGAGCTCTGACCCCAGGAGGGCCTGGGAGTCCCTTAGGACACGGTCCCCCACAATCCCAGCACGGAGCTCCACCTCCCACACCCAGCCTTGACCTAAGCTGCAGCCACGGTGGCTCTCCCCACTGCCGAGGTGTGGCCGAGCCCAGCAGGCCCAGCCCTGTCCACAGGACACCTTGCCTGTTGGCCGAGGCCGGGAGCCCTCCCTGCCCCTGGCCTCGCTCACCTTCCCAGCCGGACATCACTCCCACTGGGGTTCGTACCCGTGAACTGGGTCTGTGCGACTTCCGCCATGTTGCCTGGCACACAGGTGCACAGTGACACGAATGAATGAATCCACAGGCCGCGAGGGTGGTGCTCTCGAGTGAGGCAGCTGCAGGTTTGCATCCCGGCACCCCCCTTACTGGCTGCGTGTTCCTGGCAAGTGACCTAGCGTCGCTACGTCTCAGTTTCCTCCCAGGTGTGGTGAGGACTAGATCAGATAATGTGTGTGAACACGGCGGTGCTGCGCACAGAATGGGGCTCCGTAAGGGGAAACTGTTATTAGCATCTCGGGGACCTGCCTGCAGAGGGTGGCTTTCGGCTGACCTTGGCTTTGATAGGAGTCATTGCGTCTGATCCTGCCCAAGTGCCATCATGGATGCTCTCCCAGCAGCTCCCAGTG